AAGGAACAAAGCTTCCTTTTAATTTAGACACATGAGCTCTGACTGCGGTGGCTCATTCCCCCTCAACATATAGATCACCTTTACGCGTAAAAGAGGTTACAAAACATTACCAGAAACTTTTGCACAACACAACGGTTTCCACAGGACTGACCTGTTTTACCACTAATTGCTTTTGCTTGTTTCTGTTTAAACAACACCTACAGTATTTCAAACTGACCGTTCCCAGCTTCTGCACAGATGTTTATCCTGTTAAGAAACTCTGCTAAGCTTCTGCAACGTCATCTTACACCCTTGTGACCTTCAAAAAATATACTGATTGGTTAAAAAGAAAGATATAAGTTAAATATGCAATTTTAACTTCACACTTCCTTCACGCTCCTCTCAAACCGCCTATCTTCTTTGTCCAAAATGTGAACATTCTGGTCCTCCAAAGAATGTCCTTAGTCCATAAGGTGTAGATGTAACGCAGAGTCTTGTCCAGAGGAGGGCGCTCTTCTGTGTTGGGCCATGCTTCTGTGGAGAGTTTTTGTTTCTCCAATATAAAGATCAGAGCATTCCTCACTGCATTGAACTGCAGACACTCTGCTCAGATTAGGTCTTTAGGATGGACTAGTCTCTGTTTCAGGGTCTGTTTGGTTTGAAATGGTGTCTTTGGTGTCTGGTTAGGATGCTCCATGGACGTCATTAAAAAGATGCTGACTGGTTATAACTCTGGGTCGTGCAGCAGGTCCTGTCATTACTCCAGTTTCCTTAATGGTTCCCTGGAGTTCTGCTTTCCAATCTTTCCTTCTCTGATTATTAACTTCAATTTGAATTATTTTCCATCACCAACTGGAAATGTTTTAGATCTCAGAGACTCAGATTATCCTTGATGAACACAGTAAAGATACATGTTGGCGTCCTTTCCAGCCTTGAAGGAGTTTGTTCTTAGTGATTTATGTTTTTGAGGACATGCAGCAGCTTGTGGTGTAGAAATGTATCATGTAGATCTAACGCTCCCTGAAGGAATGAAGAAAAGCGCCATCATGTCCCTAAAACAGCTGGATTAAACAACACCGCCACCATCAGGCCGTGATGTGAACATCAACGCTGTCCTGACTTTAACGCGTTAATGAGACGTGATGCTCACTGACCTGGCGAGGGCGCTCTTTTCCACTCTCTCCTGCTCCTTCTTCTGTCTGTGTCTGTACTTCTTCACTCGGACCTCCCAGATTCCTCGGATCAGAGACAGATCGCACACCGGAGCCGCCACCTTCCTGTTCGGACCCATCTGTGTTTGGGTTTGGACCTGAAACATCGCAAGAAAATTCATTTCATTTATGAAAGCTAGATTTGACACAAGATAATAAGGTTTCTTCTTGATGACTGTTGTGCAACTGTTTGACCTGTTGGTATTTGCCTTTGTTTCTGCCATTGCGCCACCTTGAGGCGAAAACATTCTGGTTTTTGTGACGCGTTTTATTGGTCTATATCAGGGGTAACCAATTAAAGATCGGCGCGGTCGAAATAAAGAAAATCATCAACCAGAAAAGGTCCAGAGACATTTTTAATCAGAATTTAACACTAAAATAAAATGAGGTTTTTATGCATCCATGTTATACATTGAATTTTTAAATAAAAAAATATAATTTTTCTTTTCCATTTTAAAATTGAAAGTGTTTTTGAACAAGCGTTCAGTTTGGTATACAGAGAATTTCCTAATTTTCTTTCTTTTTTCTGTCTTAATGTTGGCAGTGGGCTTTAGGCTGCCCTGCAAGGCTTTAAACCTGGG